GGAATTAATTGATGATTTATATCTTAAATCAAAGCTAAAACCGTCTATTTTAATGAATTCCATAAAAATATTATAGTTAATAATGATATTTTCATCAAAAATAAGTTTTAAGTTATTTATTCATTTTTGACACTTTGAGGTTAGTTTAAATTAAAAAAATCTTTATTTTTTTCTTAATAAACTCGTCGATTAATATATATTGTACGAAAGAGGACGTTTTTAGCTTTAATTTGATGTAAAAATAACAGCTTAATCTCTAAAAATAAAGCTGAAATGATTTTTAGAGATTTTACTGTCATTTTGAGGTTAATGAAACGTTTAATAAATCGTACAATCTGTATTTGTCGGAATTAATTGATGATTTATATCTTAAATCAAAGCTAAAATCGTCTATTTTAATGAATTCCATAAAAATATTATAGTTAATAATGATATTTTCANTAGGAAGTATTTAGTCTTCTGCAAGCAGTATTAGTATTCTGGAACCAATTCCTTGGGTATTGGTAGCAGTACCTAGCCTTCCATAGATAATATATATCTTCTGCAAACAGTTTCTAGTATTGTATAGGTAGTATTTGTCTTTTGCAAGGAATTTTTGGTCCTTTATAGGAAGTATTTAGTCTTCTGCAAGTAGTATTAGTATTTTGGAACCAATTCCTTGGGTATTGGTAGCAGTACCTAGCCTTCCATAGATAATATCTATCTTCTGCAAACAGTTTCTAGTATTGTATAGGTAGTGTTTGTCTTCCGCAAGGAATTTTTGGTCCTCTATAGAAAGTATTTAGCCTTCTGCAAGCAGTATTAGTATTCTGGAACCAATTCCTTGGGTATTGGTAGCACTACCTAGCCTTCCATAGATAATATCTATCTTCTGCAAACAGTTTCTAGTATTGTATAGGTAGTATTTGTCTTTCGCAAGGAATTTTTGGTCCTTTATAGGAAGTATTTAGTCTTCTGCAAGTAGTATTGGTATGCTGCACCCAATTTCTTGGCTATTGTCTGGTCAGGTATGCATTAGTATAGGTCCGTCGNGAGATTTTTCTGTCATTTTGAGGTTAATGAAACGTTTAATAAATCGTACAATCTGTATTTGTCGGAATTAATTGATGATTTATATCTTAAATCAAAGCTAAAACCGTCTATTTTAATGAATTCCATAAAAAATATTATAGTTAATAATGATATTTTCATCAAAAATAAGTTTTAAGTTATTTTTTCATTTTTGACACTTTGAGGTTAGTTTAAATAAAAAATCTCAACTTTTCCTTAATAAACTCGTCGATTATTACATATTGTACGAAAGAGGACGTTTTTAGCTTTAATTTGATGTAAAAATAACACCTTAATCTCTAAAAATAAACTTGAAATGATTTTTAGGGATTTTTCTGTCATTTTGAGGTTAATGAAACGTTTAATAAATCGTACAATCTGTATTTGTTGGAATTATTTGATGATTTATATCTTAAATCAAAGCTAAAATCGTCTATTTTAATGAATTCCATAAAAATATTATAGTTAATAATGATATTTTCATCAAAAATAAGTTNAACCGGTCAAGTGTACTGAGAAGCGATATGTATGGATTAATGTATCACTTAAAGCTACTAGGACGCAGCACCCGATAGACCCGAAGTATTAATCCGTACTGAACGTTTTTCATGCGTTGGGGTTTCATATACCCCATGTGTCGGATGCCGGGTTAATGAAACGTTTAATAAATCGTACAATCTGTATTTGTTGGAATTAATTGATGATTTATATCTTAAATCAAAGCTAAAATCGTCTATTTTAAAGAATTCCACAAAAATATTATAGTTAATAATGATATTTTCATCAAAAATAAGTTTTAAGTTATTTATTCATTTTTGACACTTTGAGGTTAGTTTAAATAAAAAATCTCAACTTTTCCTTAATAACCTCGTCGATTATTATATATTGTACGAAAGGGGACGTTTCTAGCTTTAATTTGATGTAAAAATAACAGTTTAATCTCTAAAAATAAAGTTGAAATGATTTTTAGAGATTTTTCTGTCATTTTGAGGTTAATGAAACGTTTAATAAATCGTACAATCTGTATTTGTNGCAAACAGTTTCTAGTATTGTATAGGTAGTATTTGTCTTTCGCAAGGAATTTTTGGTCCTTTATAGGAAGTATTTAGTCTTCTGCAAGTAGTATTGGTATGCTGCACCCAATTTCTTGGCTATTGTCTGGTCAGGTATGCATTAGTATAGGTCCGTCGATAGCGGTTAAAGAAGTGCGGCACGACGCCACAAGAGTCTACCTGTGTAGGCGGTTAAGCTCTGCCGCATGCGACAACTCTTGCGGCACCGCCGCAAGAGTCATCATGTATGGGCTGCTTAAGACGGCCGAATACTCAGGGTTATCATAAGGACGTCGTCTTTTTTAAACAAAACTTTTCCTTTGTAAAACTACCTAATGCCTGTACTATTAAGCTATGTTGCATTTTATATGGGACAGTGCAAGTACATAGTAGTTTCGTAACTATGGTTAAAATTAAGGGGGTTTTTCATATAACTTTTTGGTCAAAACCACTTTTCCTCCAAGTTACAGCCATCTAAAATTAAGGGAAAGAAATTGTTTTTCTTTAATAAGTCCACTATGAAGGAATTTGGAAATTTGGCAGATAATTGTTACTAATAAGGTGACATTTTTTGACGAATTTTATAACCCTATAATGTAATTACAAGGGTGTGAAAAAATCCACCCCTATAATACTTGCATTAGAACTTTTTAATGCGTCCACATTTTTTATCCACATGCGCAACTTTCTTGTTTTTTAACATTTCCTCCTAAAATCGTTAGTTTGTCCATAAAAAAATACTTAAACCTATTTGACATAATCTCTTCGTCTTCGAGAAGATGGACATTTTTCAAGAATTGTCGATTGCAGACGTTCACGAGAAGTACGTAATGTAGCATTAGAAGAAGAAGTTCTTAATTTAATTGAGAACTCTCCTGGAACCAGTACAAGAAAAATTTGTCAACAATTAAACGGGGTAAAATCGTGCGTCGCTGCTGAAGGGCATTTCAACATTTATTATGATTATTAATATTTTCTTAACGTTGTTATTATTTGTTTTTGTAGTTTTGTTAATTGTTAGTGTCTGTGTATTATTATTTTTTTTTTTTGATCAAATTAACAATTTTGGGGGAAACTGTTCTTAATATTTAAAAATTTGTCATTATGACATTAACCTATGATGATATTTTTGATAAATATATTTTTACATAAATGATATTGATGATATTTTTACATAAATAATAACCATACTGTGCCAATTTGTGTCAAATAGGTCTGAGTACTATTTTATGTTATGTATGTTATAAAAAGATTTATTGATGGCCAAAAAAAAATGCTTACATTATTAACTGATAATGGAGGTGCTGCACTAGTCCATAAAACTTTTTCTCTAGCACCAGTCTCAACGTTCCACATTGTAATTTCATTATTTGATTGATAACTGGCTATGATCCAAGAATCTCTTTTGGGATGACAAAGAACTTTACGTACTCTCGCGCCTTTTAACACAAAAACAAATTTATTTATTTGTTTAATTTTCATTTTATATTGTTATCTTACCACTAGGATGTTTGATTGTAGAAACGGGTAATTGAAATCGAAGATCCCAAGTGATATGATATCCAAAGTCCGTTGCGACGGTAACCCAACTCTGATGGGAATTGACACAGAAACTGGTCGGGTAACCTCTTTTAATCCCATTCTCCAGCCTCCAAGCCTCCCTCGGGGATCGTAAGTCCCAACCGACCAAAGACCCGAATAACGTCGAATAAACAAGAACGCTTTGTGGACCTGAATCCCAATATTGTAACTCAAGCGCCTTTACATCTCGTTTCCGATCCAAATGTCTCACTTCGCTTAAAGATAATCTTGAAAAATTATAAAAATACTTTAAAAAGATTTGATTTAGTTTAGTTAAGAATTAATGGCCCATGAAATCTGAATGAAAATTCCCTTAATATATGTGTAATGATCACGTTAATATATAAATAACTAATTTTCTCACCTACTACTTCCACTATCGATTTGTAAAACTAAAACCGACCCATCAACTGATGAAGCAGCCATGGTTCCTTTATTCCCACAAACAGCTAATCCCGTTAATTTCGGATTTCCGGGAAATCGATAACATTGCCTGGATCTATTCGCTATATTTTTCCCTTCGATTTTCGCGCAATCCCAAACGCGGACGAATCCGTCTTTAGAAGCGCTAGCGAAAAGCGACGAATCCGGGATGTGAACCAATTTTTTAACCGCACCTTTGTGTTCGTGAAGATGAGCTATCAAGGAACCTTTTAATTTCCAACCGGGCGGAGGAATCGGAGTTTCCCAAGCTGTGTTTATTGCCCATTCTCTACATCTAAGAATATTTTTCGATTTATATTAAAACATAAATAAACAGAAACAAGAAAATTACCGTAAAGCTTCACTGTATTTATCTTGTTGCCTTAAAAGTAATCGACGTAATTCTGTACTACAATCTGATGTTCTATCTAAATAACAAAAAAATTTATGAATTAATATAAATTAAGGTCAAGTTAAATAGAGAATTTTTTTAAAAATTACATTGTACATATGATCGCTCATGGACACTAAAGTTTGATGAAGGTTCTGTGGTGTGAGTTGGTGATGATGATCTCGAATTAGCTTTTCCTTGTACAGCAGATATAGAACCATCACTTTGTCTTGTGGAATTATCAGAACTATAAACACAAGAACAAAATAAAAAGTTTAGATTAATTTTGTTTTGAAAAACCTTGAATATGGAAGTTTCTGTGTCACTCTACTCTCCAAATTTAAAACATGACCTGCATTAGGAACCGTTAAAATAATAATTTTCCCCTCCATTAAATTATCATCAATATGTTTTTTATGTTTTCCATATCTCAAAATTTTTTGTTTGTATTTTATTAATCTATCTTCAATAAACTCATTTAATCCATACTCTTCCAATCGCCTTATTAACTACAAAAACAAATTTATTTAACTAATTTAAGACTAAATAATATTTTAAAAAAATCACCGTTTTTGTAGCTGCTGTTGCTTCCGATAACATTTGATGCCCAGGAACTTTATCTTGCTTAATCATATCTCTAATTTCCTTTCTCCTATTTAAAGTAGTAATGAAGTTTTCAAAATCAGCGCAACGAAGAACGCTATCATAAATGGGTCTTGGAATTGGATCTTTTAATGATGCCAATAATCTATGAGGACTAAAAAAAAATTATTTAAAAAATTTTATGATTTAATATACCGAATTAAGTTACTGCGTTATTTCAATTAATTCGTATTTTTGCGATTCCGTTAAAAGAGGCATTATTTTCACTGCAACATCTAAATTATTCATTGTTTGGGTGAGTTTCGTTATGAAATTAGCTGCAGATTGCCGAATCCATAAACTTGGATGTACCAAAAATAAAGAACACTCCATAACTAACCCAACCATCATTTCTTTGGGAAATAGGGCCACTTCTGTTAAATGTTCCATACATTTTAATGTTTTTACGATTACAAATTCGGAAACATCCCTCATTCCCTATTAAAATAAATGTTAATACATATTATGTTTGCGTTAAATTAATTTATTTTACTTGAACAAATAGAGGTTTTAAAACTGCGGTGCTGTGCCAACCTAAACAAGCAGCAATTCCGACGATTGCATCGAAAAATGTGGCACGAAGTTCTTTGTCATCTTTATCGTTTAAAAATGTAATCATATGCGATAATAATATGTCATTAGCTGTAAAATTAATTAATTAATTAATACTTTTGAATTAATAAAAATTATGTTACGTACACATTTGATGTCCAAAAAACATACATAATTTGGCCACATTATGATTAACTAACGTTCTTTTAACTAAAGGTGATGTGTCTGATAATAAAGGTCCAACCATTTGTTTAATCATTTCGTGTAAAGCTTGTAGCTCAGCATCGTAATTAATTTTCGGCGAATTAGTTCTGCTTGATTTATCATTACAATCAACAACCGTTTGATGAAGATATTGTAACGCAATATGAGCTAATTGCCCGATGTGTTTAGCAAATTCTGTTCGGACACAAACATTCCTATCGGTCGCCAATGGAGCTAAACCCGGTAAAATATAATCAGGAAACACATTTGCGTCGGATCTAGGTACATCTTTAACAAAATCCAAACAAGTTGTTATGGTTCGAATTGCAACCACTTTCACTCTTGGGTTTGAATCATGTGTTAAATGCATCTAAAACACTTCTATTATTAAAATTTTATTAAAATTGTACTAAAATATTACCATATAAGGTAATAATCGATCTAAAATAGTTTCTTCATTTGCATGTTTCGCCAATTCTAACATTACATCTAAACATTGTAACTTTGCCGAACAATCATGAAGACCCCTCACGCAAGAAGTAACCAAAGAAATAATAATAACCAATCCATCGGCACGATTTGCATGGTCATCAACATCTATAATCATTTCATTACTTAAATCGCAATCGCTTCGTTTCGAAGAGAACAAATTAACCACACTTGAAACTTCCTTCTTTATTCGTGCCATCTTTTCATCACAAGATAAAATCGGACTTGCAGAAAAATCCAACATATACGGTTGCAAAAATGTGTAAAAATAATGAGGAAAAAGTCGCCCACGTTCTTGTGATAAATAACTTTCAGCAGATAAACGTTGCGTAGGATCTTTTTGAATCATACTGGTGAGAAGTGATTTTAAATAAGGGTCATCAATTTTATCAAGATGTCTTTGTGGGGAGTATTCATTATTTCGATATGCTAAAAGTTGAGAATATTCAAAAGGACTATGCCCTTCATTCCATAATTCCAATAAAGCACATCTTCAAAAAAAAATCAGTGTTAAATGTACTATTTAACTTTCCAGTAGCCACATTTATACTGTTACGCGCGGCGAACTATAGGTCGGCAATTGCCAATAGAAATTTATTATTACACAAATATTAATCTTCTAGGTCTAGTGTTAGTTCTAGTTTTACACTAGCACTATCACTAGAACTAACACAAGACCTAGAACTAGAATCATTCGGGATTCTAGTTCTAATCTAGAGATTTTCTGTCATTTTGAGGTTAATGAATTATTTAAAAAATCACACAATCTGTATTTGCTGCAATTAATTGATGATAATTTATATCCCAAATTGAAGCTAAAATCGTCTATTTTAGGGTAATGCATAATAATGTTATGGTTAACAACAAAATTTCCTTAAAAAAAATTGTTAACATACATATTTGTTCATTTTTAACACTTTGAGGTTAGTTTAAATAAAAAATATTAACTTTTCCTTAATAAACTCGTCGGTTATTATCTATAATAAGAAAGAGGACGCTTTTAGCTTTAATTTGATGTAAAAATAACAGCTTAATCTCCAAAAATAAAGTTGAAATGATTTTTAGGGATTTTTCTGTCATTTTGAGGTTAATGAAACGTTTAATAAATCGTATAATCTGTATTTCTCGGAATTAATTGATCATTTATATCTTAAATCAAAGCTAAAACCGTCTATTTTAATGAATTCCATAAAAATATTATAGTTAATAATGATATTTTCATCAAAAATAAGTTTTAAGTTATTTATTCATTTTTGACACTTTGAGGTTAGTTTAAATTAAAAAAATCTTTATTTTTTTCTTAATAAATTCGTCGATTATTATATATTGTACGAAAGAGGACGTTTTTAGCTTTAATTTGATGTAAAAATAACACCTTAATCTCTAAAAATAAAGTTGAAATGATTTTTAGAGATTTTTCTGTCATTTTGAGGTTAATGAAACGTTTAATAAATCGTACAATCTGTATTTGTCGGAATTAATTGATGATTTATATCTTAAATCAAAGCTAAAATCGTCTATTTTAATGAATTCCATAAAAATATTATAGTTAATAATGATATTTTCATCAAAAATAAGTTTTAAGTTATTTATTCATTTTTGACACTTTGAGGTTAGTTTAAATAAAAAAAATCTTTATTTTTTTCTTAATAAACTCGTCGATTGTTATATATTGTACGAAAGAGAACGTTTTTAGCTTTAATTTGATGTAAAAATAACACCTTAATCTCTAAAAATAAAGTTGAAATGATTTTTAGAGATTTTTCTGTCATTTTGAGGTTAATGAAACGTTTAATAAATCGTACAATCTGTATTTGTCGGAATTAATTGATGATTTATATCTTAAATCAAAGCTAAAATCGTCTATTTTAATGAATTCCATAAAAATATTATAGTTAATAATGATATTTTCATCAAAAATAAGTTTTAAGTTATTTATTCATTTTTGACACTTTGAGGTTAGTTTAAATAAAAAAAATCTTTATTTTTTTCTTAATAAACTCGTTGATTATTATATATTGTACGAAAGAGAACGTTTTTAGCTTTAATTTGATGTAAAAATAACACCTTAATCTCTAAAAATAAAGTTGAAATGATTTTTAGAGATTTTTCTGTCATTTTGAGGTTAATGAAACGTTTAATAAATCGTACAATCTGTATTTGTCGGAATTAATTGATGATTTATATCTTAAATCAAAGCTAAAATCGTCTATTTTAATGAATTCCATAAAAATATTATAGTTAATAATGATATTTTCATCAAAAATAAGTTTTAAGTTATTTATTCATTTTTGACACTTTGAGGTTAGTTTAAATAAAAAAAATCTTTATTTTTTTCTTAATAAACTCGTTGATTATTATATATTGTACGAAAGAGAACGTTTTTAGCTTTAATTTGATGTAAAAATAACACCTTAATCTCTAAAAATAAAGTTGAAATGATTTTTAGAGATTTTTCTGTCATTTTGAGGTTAATGAAACGTTTAATAAATCGTACAATCTGTATTTGTCGGAATTAATTGATGATTTATATCTTAAATCAAAGCTAAAATCGTCTATTTTAATGAATTCCATAAAAATATTATAGTTAATAATGATATTTTCATCAAAAATAAGTTTTAAGTTATTTATTCATTTTTGACACTTTGAGGTTAGTTTAAATTAAAAAAATCTTTATTTTTTTCTTAATAAACTCGTCGATTGTTATATATTGTACGAAAGAGAACGTTTTTAGCTTTAATTTGATGTAAAAATGACACCTTAATCTCTAAAAATAAAGTTGAAATGATTTTTCGAGATTTTTCTGTCATTTTGAGGTTAGTGAAACGTTTAATAAATCGTACAATATGTATTTGTTGGAATTAATTGATGATTTATATCTTAAATCAAAGCTAAAACCGTCTATTTTAATGAATTCTATAAAAATATTATAGTTAATAATGATATTTTCATCAAAAATAAGTTTTAAGTTATTTATTCATTTTTGACACTTTGAGGTTAGTTTAAATAAAAAAAATCTTTATTTTTTTCTTAATAAATTCGTTGATTATTATATATTGTACGAAAGAGAACGTTTTTAGCTTTAATTTGATGTAAAAATAACGTAAAAATATCTTAATCTCTAAAAATAAAGTTGAAATGATTTTTAGGGATTTCAATTTGAAAACACTCCTCCAAATTTAAAAATAGAGTATACATTTAAATTGCTAAGACTGATAGTTCACGCGCGTGTATTAAAAACTAAAAATAAATCGTATTTAAATAATTACCCAGCCGAAAATATATCCATAGATGGTTTCAAATCATCTGAACTACAAATATTTTCATTAAACAAACTTGTTGAGTCTAAAGTAACTAATTTTTTAAATCTTTCTGGTGCAATATAACAAACTCTTCTTCGAGAAGTATCAAAAAAATATGTATAATCAGCAGGATTATCTTCAGGTAAAAATGTTGGTTTAAAAGGGGCAAAATCGACTAATCTTAACCAATTCCACGAAGTAATCGTGATATTCTCCAATTTAATATCACCATGGCAAACTCCAACTTTGTGGCATTGATTCAAAGCGTATAAAACTTGAAATGTTATCCAACGTTTTTCCAAATTTGTTAAAAACGGTCTTGTACTAATTCGATCGTACAAACTAAACTTAACGTACTCTCGAGTGAGAAATCCAGCTTTATCAAGTAATTCAATTTTTTGAAATGGTAAACAATTTATGGCTGTAGTTAGTTTTGAACGAATTTGTTCTAAACATTCTCTGTACGGTTGTAAGGGTAATGTAGGATCGTGAATAGCAAATACTTTTACTACGACGAAACCTTCCGGTGATTTTGCTCTAGCTACTTTTAAGAAACGTGTGCTTCCCAAACTATCTCAAAAATAATATTATATTAGATAGGTATTAAATTGTTATTTTTTTAAACTTACCTTGAGTCAAACTTATAATCACTGTGTTCAGCTAAATAGTGTTCTACAGGGAAAATTTGCGAAGGGGCTATTCCTACTAATTGATTCCCCATTCTATTATAATCTTAATAAATCTTCATGGAGTTCTTAAAAAAAGGTACCACAACAACAACAGCTGATAAGACAAACAATATTTATTTTGATATTTTTGACAGACGTCATTTGTTGGAAACGTTCTAAAATGGTATCAAATTATTTTTAATGTTTTATTTATTTTTATTAATAATTAATATTAAGATGATAATAATGTAGTTAATTAGAAATATTTAAAGAATTTAATGAATATTTGAATTATACGAAAGGAATAATATTTTTAGTTAGGCTACGTTCTGTTTATTAAAGGAATAATCTTGTGGTTATTTTTTCAATAACTTTATCGTTCGAAAACAATAACACATTAAATTGATGCGGATAGCATATTGATTACTATATTATTTATTTTTCAATATGTATTCATCTCAACAACTTCGTAGTTATATCACCTTAATGAAAGGCTTTCCTTTTAAAGCAAGCTCCTAGACAGTACCAGAAAAGAATTAAAATTTCTTATGTAGTCTATTATTATTGATAGATCTATTGTAATTTAAGCTCTCCAAAAGTTTAGGGTAAATGTAGGTCCTTGATAAACCTTAGTATTGCTTCAAGGTCTTGTTCCATTATGTCAGAAGTACTTTACTATATTTACTATATGTTCAGCAGTCTTTGACTCGTCGTTACAAAGGTGGTATTTTAGAGGCGCATGGCCGGTCAAGAAGCATGAGAACGATCATAAATCATCTTTCCTGAGGCACAAAACCTCTTTGGCTTTGTTTTGCGATGTTGTTATCATATCCTTCCAGCGTGAGGCTACCTTTGAGGCTTCCCAACTATTGATTACCTGTTTTACGTGGCTTTTTGTAGTCCACAACCTGGTTGGGGTCCAATAAAGGGCGTTTTTGCTGCCTCTTTGGCCAGCTTGTGCGCCTTTTCATTGCCCTCAATGTTTCTGTGGCCTGGAATCTATCATAGAGTGTGAAGTCACACGTGTAGGCCTACATTGCATTTATGGCGGTCCGACTATCTGTGAAAATGTTTATGGATGCACTTTTCTGTCTTTTTTCTAGGTTCAAAACAGTGCAGAAATTTATAGCAAGAACTTCTGCTTGAAAAATAATTATGTCCGAGCTGAGGGGCAATTTAATTTATCTAGTCTATAGATGTAACTATTTCATTTATAAAGTTTAATTGAATTGGACTAGATTAAATTGTAATAATACGGTAAAACCAGTTAGAATTAATAAAAAAAGTTGTTAATCTGTAATTTTAATATTCAATAACATTTGTTGTTAACTTCACGTTGGTTTATATTAATACTCCTACTATATATTTATGATTATATACATATATATATAAATATAACCTTACACATGTTTGTTATTTCAAGGATTTACTACGTTGTACGGAAAATTAAATAAACAATATTACGAAAACATTGCGATAACACAAAACAGTCTATTACAAACAGAAGAGATTACTATATTAAAAAGTAGGCTTAAAAACAATTGATAAAAAAATGACTGTTATCAAAACAAAAGGATAAAAACAAAAGTATGCAATTAGAAGGTTGAAAGCATCGTCGCGTTGCCGTCACGCTGTCTAAAAGCATCTCGAATCCTTTTTTACAACCCTCAAATCAGCGCCATCTGACCACGAGTCCTTGCGTTACGTTATCCTTTTCTGTCAGCTGGTTGAAAGAGGTGAACACGGTGTCACAGGACAAGTAATTTTCAGTTCAGTTTTTCTCATTGGAAAGTGAACGACAACCGAACCGGTTGGTTTTTAAAGTTGCGGTGATGACGAGGTTTTTTTTTTATGAACGTGTTTCGAAAAGTTTAAGGTAAGATTGTTGAAACGAATCGTACGCAAGAATTTTTCTTAGATAAAAGGTATGATTTGTTTTTATAACGTATGATTAACACTGTAAAATTTAAATGAAGTTGCGAATGAGTTTTTGAAACGTGTCATTCATTTCCGGTCGTTTATTTCGAAACGATTGCGTTATTTATGACCATCGCTGGTTAAATTTAGACTCGCGCTTACGATTTCAATGTTGTTTCCGTCGATACTGATTGTATATTCTTACATAATAATCAATAGCTATTATAAATGCTCAAATCATAATAATTTGAATTAATAAAAAAATATGTATTAATATTATTTTAATGTAAAATATGTGTATTTGACACCGGGAGTCTTAAAACGTTTCGAATATATCCTTGTAGTGTCAATGAACTATTTTGGAGGGGGAACTTTTAACTTTACAATATGAACACTTTAATTTAACCATTTAATTTATAGGTAAATTGGTCAATTAGATCATTGACACGAAAAACACGTGATGGCTTTAAATTTGTCTGGTCAAAGTATTTTCTTTTCAACATGAATTTGAATTACTCAAAGTTCGTTCTATTCTAATAATTTGAATTTCAAACAATATTTTTAGGTTGAAGAGATTATTAGGTGTAAAATGTGGACCATTAGCCAGAAAATAATGATTACATGCTCATAGTTGCAATGAGTTATAACAATTGTGTGCCTGTAATCATGTCTTGGATGTCTATGGCCAATCTTGGCAGGTTCAAGAACATGGGTGTGGATGTATATTTATGTCCTTTATTAAGTAAATTCAATTCTTGCTGTGTAAATTCGAAACTGGAGAGATTAGTTGTTGTCCTTGAATGAAACTGATGAATATGTGGAACTATGTTAAATGAGGAAGTGGTTATTTTCTGTCGTCTTTCATTTCTCAATCTTAAAATTACAATAATTAAATTACAATAAGTTATGGCGTCGTGTTATGCCGTATAAGTAATATAAATAAATTTTTGAAATGATCTACAATTTTTTCGAATTTTGCAATTTTCGCTGATTAAGTTTTAAAAATTCGTATAAAATCCATTTCTTGGAATATGACTATGAAAATTCCCCAAAGTGTTAATAAAAGTGTCCTCTTTCCAATGAACCAACCCGTTTTGAAAAATAACTTTTAGTTTTTGAGAAAACAATATTTGAAGTTTTGATAAAATTTTCGATGTTGCAATTTTCATCGATAATTTTCAAAATTCGCNTTTTTGACACTTTGAGGTCAGTTTAAATTAAAAAAATCATAATTTTTTTCTTAATAAACTCGTCGATTATTATATATTGTACGAAAGAGGACGTTTTTAGCTTTAATTTGATGTAAAAATAACACCTTAATCTCTAAAAATAAAGTTGAAATGATTTTTCGAGATTTTTCTGTTATTTTGAGGTTAACCCGGCATCCGATATGTGAATTTTTGTGACAATTTGTGACAGGTGGGGTGCTATATACCCCAACTTAAACAACGGTTTATTTGAATTTATTTGTTATTTCTGGGACTTATTTCTTAGATTTCTGGTGAGACTTGTTGTTGATATGATGTCAAATAACGATTAATTTAATTTATAGTAAAAAAAATGTTTATTGTCCTACATTGGGTTTGTATGAAAAATGAAAGATAAATTTCGCGCAACCAGCATAAGTAAAGTAAATTAATTAATAATAATATTAAATAATAATACCATTTTATTCATATGCTGTGGAACTCAAGTCACTACAATTTTTACAATATGTTACCGCATGCTCGAGGCATATAAACTTATCACATGCTTCACAAACATATCTGGTTTTTCTATCTTTTGCACGAGGGCATTCTGAACATCTGCCTTGTTGATTTGGTTTTCTCTTCTTGGATAGAGGCTCAGAATCTTCTTCCTTCAGAAGTTTTCGAATATTTCCTCTAAGCTCTCTTGTCAGTCTAGGGTTAGACATTCTGCTTCTTTGATGTGCTTCTACTAGTTGAATGCCAAGCTTTTTCAGGAAATGTCTTCTGGCCATTTTAATACCATTGTTATTTTCCCTGTAAATAATTTGCGAATTAATTCCTGTCGTATTTAGGAGGGAATAAAACAATGTTAACGGCCAGCGACGGCTATTCCTTGAAACGTTATATGACGCAGACATCTCGTCGACAACATCAACTCCGCACTTAGTAAAGTTGTAAAATGATATAACTTCGGGCAATTTCTTATCTGTTTGATCAACGGCATCATCATGATGTAAGGAAGATAACAAGAGAACAACCTTTCCTTTTTTTGGACAATAAGACACCAAAGTATTTCCCTCGTGGAACCCAAATAAGGTGGAACAAATGTCTCTATTTTTTACATTTAGAAAAGCTGGTGGTAAGTAGGGCTTATTTTTTCTTATAGTTCCCACTGCAGTTAATTGATGTTTCTGTCGCAAACTTTGTAAAAGCTCCAGACTCGTATACCAATTATCGAAAGTAATGTTGCGGTTAGTTTTCGATACAGGAGCAACTAAACGATCTATTATATCCTTTGGCTTGTTGCTTACTCTAAATGGTCCTTGGGGTTGTTGACCCACATATACCTCCATATTTAGGACATAGTATGTTCGCGCGTCAACCAAAGCATGTACCTTTATCCCATATCGCGCAGGTTTGTTGGGAATAAATTGCCTAAAGGAACATTTCCCTCGAAATGATTCAAGCTTTTCGTCAATCGTCAAATATTCCGATGGTGAATAAGCAGATTGACAGTTCTGTACGAATCTATCAAATATAGCTCTGATATGGGCGAGTTTATCTACATTGACCCTCTCGGCACGATTACTCTTGTTGTCGAAACGTAAACACGAAATCAAAAACTCACATCGTCTCTGGCTCATTGTAGCAGGAAATATGTCCATTCCAGTACCATCCGTATTCCAAAGTTCGTACAAATGGCGATGATTATTTCTGAAAACTCCCGATAAATATAGAAGGCCAAATATTGCTTTTATCTCTACCGCTGATGTTTGCCCGTAGTGAGGAGAATCTTTCCATTGCGCACATTTCTCCGTTATTCTTTCATTTGTCCTTTCAACTATGTCGGCAATCATCTGCTCGTCTATGAAAAGCGAGAAACATTCAAGAGGTGTCTTAGCCATTTTTGCAGGTTTTTTTACTCCAGGAAGGTGTATTATAATATTTTCGGCTCTAGTCCGAACTTTTTTATTGGGATGTTGTTTAGACCACTTAGTTCCGTCCTTTCCGAAAAAATATTTAGCTTGCGTTTGCTCTTCAGCTGGTTCCAGTTCATCCTCGGCATCTTG